ATTACTTTTGCGTTACTTTCGCGTTACTTTTTAAATATGAGCAGGGCTTGATTGTTTTTAATATAAGAAGTTCTATTTATAGCAAATGTAAAAGCCCTTTCACATCTTTCACAGGCTGAAGGAAAAGTAAATTCACGTCTGTACAGTAGAACACAAGAAGGTTCAGCACTCTTCAGAAATAAAAAAAACAATGAAGCAGAATTGTTAGTTTATCTAAAGTCATTTTTGCTGATTAGTATGGATGAACTGGATCATCAAAGGTCAGCAGCAAAGACATTAGTTAATAAAATGGGATTAGATACATTTGTGTTATTTAACATATTTAATTATTGCAGGTTTGCGTCATATTCTGAGTTTGCATTTCACTGTTTTAATTCATTTTGATGAATACTAAATCAGTTTTTTTGCGAGTGGGATGAATTAATGCACATTCACATTTAGTCTAGAACTACATCATGTTCACACAGCGCGCACAACGCCTCTGTACTTCCGATTTCTCCTAATATGAGGACCAGGAGACTTGTCAGTCAATACTTGGGAAAACAAAGTAACTGACATTACTTTTTTGAGAAAGTAACTCAGATATTCTCTTGTAAATTTAAAAGTAATGCGTTACTTTACTAGTTACTTGAAAAAAGTAATCTGATTACGTAACTCGCGTTGCTTGTAATGCGTTACCCCAACACTGATCATATCATATATCAAAAAAATTTAAAATAAATAAAATGACACTAACATGGTATGGAGTCTTAAAAAACCTAATATAACCATTTAACAATATCAAAACAAAAAAATATAACCATTTAACAATATCAAAACAAAAAAATAAATGTCATGCTGTCATGACCAAAAATGAAACTTGAAATACATGCTAATATTGTCGATTATAAAGGATGAATTAGGCAGTCCCTAAAAAACAGTAGTTTACATGACACTTTGATAATGTTCATCTGATGAGTGAAACATTAGCAATGGAATTAAGTCGTTAGCACATTTAATAAATATTTGGTCTGCTTCCTGACATGCCCACAAATCACGTTCTGTTTTGGCAACCATTGCAGTCAACTCTAATGTATGTTTATCAGCTTTTGCATTTGCACAGTCAGTTACTGTGTAATCCTAAACATGAGCAAGACATGTGAAAAGCACTTTGACCCCTTGAGAAATCACTTTCCCAGGTTACAGCATTTTTCCTTTTGAAAACAGATATCCTGCCAGACGATACTTATTCATCTAAACAGAGTGACGTTTAAACTTCAGCGTTCTTGGCTGTGAAAGAGTTTGAACAACATATAACCATGTGCAACATTTCACACACTTTATCAAGGGCCATTTTTCAAGTCTGTCATTTGAGATTGTCAAAAGTAGCTTAAAGAAAGCAGAGAAGTTTCACAACTTCACATTGTCCTTTCTTTGCATAAATGTCAAGAGGCCAGCTTGTTTAATTCAGGTCCCATGCTCTCCGTTCTAATCACCTTGTTTCCTGTAGCGATTATGACTCTCTGAATGAGCAAGACTGTGCCAGAAACCTTCAGCTGGCATTTGATGTGGCTGAGAAGGAGTTTGGCATGAAGCCTTTTATCACAGGGAAAGAGCTGGCGGCAGGTCAGGAGCCGGACAAGACCAGCATGGGCAACTACCTCTCCAAATTCTACGAGCTCTTCCGGGGAACGCCTCTACCTCCCTCAGGTAGATCATGAACTCTTTCATTACAAACCTATTAGGATCACTGGCTATGTTTGGAATTGCAAACTAGCATACTACGTGTACCATTTATCCAGAATCAAGTACACTACTGTTCAAAAGTGGGTAAGTAAGATTTTTGTAATGTTTTTAAAGTCTCTTATGCTCACCAAGGCTGCATTTTTTTCACACAAATACAGTAAAAACTGCAGCATTGTGAACAATTATTACAATGTAATAATTGTTGATACATTTTTGTCTGGACACTTTTATGAATAGAAAGTTTAAAAGAACAGCACTTATTTGAAATAGACATCCTTGTAACATTATAAATGACTTTACTGTCACATTTGAATTTAATGCATCAATTTAATGCATGCTTGCTGAATGAAAGTATTAAAAAAGTCTTACAGACCCCAAGTTTTGAACATTAGTGTAAATATATACAAACATATCAATTTAATTTAATTATTTATTTCACTTGAACCGGATGTAGTCTCTTTGACCCTTGATTGAAAAAAAATATAGAAATATTGGAAAACAAAAAAAACATTGATTTAAAAAAAAAAATCATTTTATTTCCAAGATGGATGTCACGTGCTGAATTAAATATGCATAAATAAAATATTTAGAATACTAGTAATTGAACATTTCTCATTGCATGTTGCATTGTTTCACACCCTGTAAGAGTTGGCAGTATGCAGTGTATACTGCGTAGTATGCAGTATGTTTGTATTCCACTTCAAACATAGTCATAGTCTCATAATACACAGACTTTATTGTCATCAAAATACTGGTTACACTTTATTTTACAGTCATGTACTTATAGAGAACTTACCCGTGAAAGTACTGGGTAGTATAATGTGCCTACATGGGTTAAGGTTCAGTTTAGAGGTAGGTTCAGGGTTAGTACCTACTTATTACCAGTCAGTTACTGTAATTGCTATAAGAAGTACATAGTATATACATGCGGAACAGGAATGTAAAATAAAGTGCTACCAAAATATATTTTCAGCTCAAGAGGCCTTCACTCCTCAAAATATACATGACATTCTGTTAGCCCACTAAAGGTGTTCAGAGCTTTTACACCGTCCAAAACCTATTATCTGCTTTGAGTGTGTCTTCCACCTAGTTAGAGTTTGCATAAGGTGTGTCCATTAAGGAAACACACAATGCATTTATGGAAAACCCCTAAAGAGAAGAAGCATTCTATCTGGCCTTTTGCACTCATACATTTGTGTTACACAATTACTTCAGTCACGCAGTCATGCCAGGAATGCATGTCTGTCTGAAACCAGGTTTCCGCCCTACAGATCTGTACGTTACCACAGAGGAGGATGCCATAAATATTCTACATTATATATTATCTGGCCTTAGAGAAGTTAATACAGCAGAAGCACGTCTGATGTCAACTAAATGAGACATGCATTCAGATGGCTTCTTCTTGGACAATCAAGCTGCAATATGAGGCTTTTATGTTGTAAAGTGATGTACGTTTGGTTACAATGCTTGTTTGTTATAGTTGTTTATTCTCAAATGTCATGCAAATGTTTGTCATGTGGTTTATTGTAGATTCAAAGCGAGATGGTGATGCAAATTATGAAAAATGTCCATCGGGTTCTCCCAGACCTGTTTACAAGTCATTGAGTTTACTTCAGCCTCGTAAACGCATTCCCAAGGTAGGATACAATGGGTTTGAGTTATTACAAGCACTGTTTGTGTTTTGTGGACTTTCTTATTATGTTCAAGTTTGGACATCACTTTCTAAAGTAAAATATAATTTATTGTTCCTTAGAATGATAAAAAGGTTGAAGACAATGATGCCATATACAAGAGAAGACGGAAAATTAGTTACTTCCAAGAGGTCAGTATTATAGTGTATATTAACATACTAGTAAAACCACGTGAAACTGGAACTGCTCTCTGATTGGTCTACTTCTCTTCCAGACAACCAAATCCTTCAATCAGAGTTCTTCTGTGTCCAGTGAGGGGCGGGAACTGAAAGAAAACAAGGTCAAGTTTATGGCCACTCAACTTCTAGCAAAATTTGAAGACCGCACCGCAAGCTGCTCTGTTCGCAGACAGGTAAATACTACTTTGACTGAACATCAGCGGAAGATTTGCATTGCATTTTCTTAAAGGAATAGTTCACCCAACAATGAAAACTCAGAATCAGAATGAGCTTTATTCACCAAGTGTGTGCAAACACACAAGGAATTTGTTGAGGTTTTTTTTAGGAGCTCTTGGTACAAACATACATACATATGACATTGAGAACAGAAGGAACATATAAATAAGACTAAGGAAAATAATAATAATGTGGTATGCATTTGGATTTATGTACAGATTTGTGCATTATTTACTGTATATACAACTGTATAAATATATTTATATGTATTCACATAAAATTCTGTGATTGTTTACTCTCTCTTATATCATTTCGCATTATTTCCGTTTTTCTTCAGTGGAACACAGAGTTATTTTGCAGAATGATCTTGCTGCTCTTTTCCATGTAATGAAAGTGAAGGCTGTAGAGCTCCAAAATGCAAAAACTGTCTGAAGCCATACAATAGATTTTTGTAACGGACTAAATTTTTTTTTGTCATTTACAGAACATCTCTGTTGGTCCTCTAAAGTATCTTTCACAAACTTTGAAATATTTTACATCATAATGTGTTGTACAAGGTTTGACATCAAGATACGGGTCTGGGCAGTTTAAGGGATATTGGTTTCAAATTATATAAAAAATAATGAGAACATTTAGGGGTTAACTATTCTTTTACATTTTGGCTTTGGAGAACCTCTTTACTTGGAGTGATCCGAGTATTTCTGTGCCTAGTTAATCTCTTCTTTCTCTTTTCTTCCATCTGTCCTTCTGACCCTGGCTTCCTTTTCTCTGAAACTGCGCCTGGTATAATGATTTCAGTCTGACTCTAATGATGAGAGGCCTCCAAAACCTCCGTCGCTTGATATGACTGATAGCCCTCTCTTTAACATTATCAAGAAGAAAGTACCACCACCTCCACCCCCTAAAAATCAGGTAGAATGTACACCTACAAACAACACTTATAAAAAAAGTACCATTTATCACCTGGTATTAGCTGTCACATAATCTATTATTAGATTATTTTTTGGTAATGTTCATCTTTTTGAACATTTTAAAACTCTACACTATTAAAAATAAAGGTTCTCTATTGGCACCTATGTTTCCGTGAAGAACCTTTAACATCCATGGAAGCTTGGGGTTCTTTATAGTGGAAAAAGGTTTAGATTTCTTTTTTTTTAGATTTAAAATGTTTTCTAAAAACTGTTATCTTAAAGGTTTGGTTGCACTTCATTTCAATAGTCCACTTTAGACATTCTACTAACTGTAAATAACTCTGCAACTACATGTCAACTAACTCTCATTAGAGCATTTGTAGACCATTAGGTTAGGGTTAGTAGAATAAGTTGCCGTATTTGCAAAGTTACTGATAGTCAGTAGATCGTCTGTTGAGCGACCATCAAAATAAAGTGTTAGTAGATATTAAGCAGCGCATCCTCGACAGCCGGCACGTGACACCTCTTCTTCTTCTTCTTGCTTTACGGCTGATCGCAGACTTATAAGTGCATTACCGCCACCTATCCCTCAAATGGACTATTGACACTCCCAATTGAGATTGTAGATAGAGTGTCAATGGTTCATTTGAGAGATAGGTGGCGGTAATACACTTATCTGCCGTAAAGTAAGAAGAAGAAGACTACTCACGCACAGGCTGAAGAAGACGACGCGCTCAGGACAGTTCAGACATTGCAGTGCATCAGAGGTAAAAAAACGATATAAATACTGTTCAGTTTCTTGCACAGACCGATCATTTTGTGTCTTTACACATCAATGTATCGTCAGGAGCCACAGGGTTTAATTTGGTTTTGTTTGTGTATGTTTTATGACTCTCAAAGCCGTGATTCCCATCCACTGACATTATAGGACTGACAGACTGCAACGGTTTGAGTTACAAATCTCCGTTTGTGTTCTACTGAAGAAACAAAGTCACCTACATCTTGGATGCCCTGGGGGTAAGCAAATAAACATCAAATTTTCATTTTTGGTGAACTATCCCTTTAAGGGTGTAATGAGTAATTTAGCATACAGTAAATGCCACCATTAAAGTTCACAGTGTGAATCTCTGCCTCGCTGTAGATACACTCCAAATTTTCCCCAAGTTTGTGTATTATCAATATAACAGCCCATACCCTGCGCTGCCCACATGTGCTGTGTGTTCACAGTTTCTGTCCGTTGCCTGTGTACGACACACTGAGGAGCCCTCAGCTCCTCTCTTCCCCTCGCTTCATTCCAGTCCTCTGAATCCACAGAGGAAACCACTTCACCCGACTCACACTCACACACAATCAGAGGCAGAGAACACAGCCGACTCAGACTCCGGAAGTACAGCCACCTGCCACTCAGCAGTGCTGGCCATGAGAACAATGCTCCAGCGCCTCCAGAGGGTGGAAGAGGAGATTAGTCAGGTGAACAACCACCATCTTCCTTCTGGTCTAATAGGTGTATTATAAGTAGGGCTCCTCAAGTTTTGAGAAAATATATATTTAACAACATCATTCAATTTATGGAATGCAGGTGGAACATTCTCCATAATGGGTGCTGCTTTTGTCCCTCATTAACATGGACATAAAAGCTAGTATTTTGTCTTTATTCTTTCTGTCAATATTAAATAAACAAATATATTATTTAAAATGCTTGACGTTTTCCTGGGATTAGTATCATCTCTGTTACCATCATAAGAATCTCTTATTAAAATAACATACTGTTCACAATTACATTATAGTACCTTAGAAGTAGTAAATGTTCTTTTTTATCACTACATTTTGTTTGTCAGGAGACAGATCTTAAAATTTCAACCCTGTTACCATGATTTTTTTAGTCAAGAATTGATTATTGAAAACAGGATCATTCAATTCCATTTTTAATAAGCATGCCAATAATAATATAAACAGTAAAAACAAGTCAACCCTGTTACCATTAAAGGGATACGTTTCATTTTTGGAAGAACTATCCTTTTAACTTTTCTAAAGGAATAGTATTATCCCAACCTATATTGAGTTTTTTTTCTCCCTGAAATGGTGCAGTGCTATTTATTATTACTTAAGTATTACAATTTTTAAATACTAAATGTCTAAAATCGAACAGAAATGCATTTAATTCATCTTTTCAAAGAGGAAAATGTACCCATTTCATAGAATGTCCCATTTATTTTGCATTTATTTTGACATTAAAACTGTTTCATTCTGTTCTGTCCAGTTCTAAAGACTGAGCTATGAAAAACTGTTCATATGTTGTTATGAAGACTTTGTAATAGAATATTTATTTATAAATAAATTCCAGATGGGATCTTTAACAAAAATACATTCCCTGATAATTAAATATAAATGTTACTTATTGTAAATGTTACAAATTTTAACCAATTTAAAATGTGAAAATAATCAAGTTAATGGCATTAAAAAAGCATGACAATAATCATAATTCTATTGACCGACTTAATAATAAATGTCAAACACATTAGTGGACACGGATCTAACCACATAATTTCCTGTTCACCACAGGCTCAGTCTTTATTCTCTTCCATTTTTGTCTTGCTGTTTTCTTTCTACCGGCCTCACTCAGAGGAAAGCCCAGACTCAAAAGGCCAGGGAGTTTCATAAAAAAAGCATAAAGGAGAAGGCTGTGCATTTGAACGCTCTCTTCTCTGGCGAGGCCTGCTCTCCAGATCAGGTGACTATGTTACCACATGTGTCAGCTTTCCTCACTCAGTTGCATGCCCTGCAGTTTTGGCCTGTGATCACTGAGTGACTGAGCATCGTTTCATGCACCTGCAGTCTTTGCAGATATCATCGCATACAGAGTAATTAATTCCCATAGTCAGCCATAATTGGTTAATAATCTGTCTAGCAGAACAGATGTGGGTCAGCTGAGGACGTACACTCATTCATTCAAACAACCTGTTTTACTTTAAAAGAGTTAATAAAGTCAATGAATGCCAGTGGACATCATAACATATTCTGTGGTATTTGGTTGCTCTTTAACGAAATTGTTGGAATAAATATTTTCTCTCAATTCTTTTATGAGCTTTAATGGGCATGTGAGAGAACCAAGAGGGTTGGTGACTTTCACATGGCTCTCTTGGTTGTGTAAAGGGGTCTGAGCTGCTCAGGGGTCCTGTAAGCATTTAAATAGATCTGTCTGACTGGAAAAGAAGCTGCTTTGCTTTTTTTACTGCACACATAAGGAGAAACCATCAGTCCAGGTGTCCACAGATGATTCGAACATACTTATTTTCTGTGCATTTATTATATTTCCAAGCAGTGTTTCTGTGAGAATATGCAGTGGCCGAAAAAATACACTTGTTAATTAGATAACAAAATATAAACTATCTGCAAAAACTGATGCTAGCTCTTCTCTCAGTGTGTGAATGACTCTGTATTTGTGCATCTCTTCGGCTTCATAACACTGATGTTCTGGGTTTTGTCATCTGTCATTAAAGTGCGGGCCAGATGCTCCTCCTTATAATTTCTATGAACCAGTTGAGCATATTTAGCTTTTGAAAACATTCCAAAGAGTGACTAACATATGTTGAACAGTCCTTTAGAACCTTCAAACGACTGCTAAATCTGAATGTATAATTTTCACATTTTCCACAAGGAAAGTCACATAATTAACATCATATATGTTGCAGGTTTCCTGATTTTGCATAAAGCAGCATATGTTTTATATGTACCCACAGAAAAGAAAAAAACAAAAATGTATATCTCAGTTGTTTCTCATAGGCAAAAATAAGAGCAAATGGAGAATTAAAGGGATCATTCAATCAATTACTGTCATCAGTTACTCACCCTCATGTCTTATTTACTCTAAAATTAAATTATCTGCATCTCTCCATATTAATTTCACTGCTCATTTCATTTATGTCTATTTTTGTGTTTATTTTTACCATGGAATTTTCTGAGAAACATCTGAGATAAAGTCAGTTAAACATAAACCTATAAGAAATCCTATCTAAGAACTAAGAACTCAGGTCTCCTGAGATTTAAAAGAGCAACATCTGAGCAATACATTTTCCTTTGAGTAATGAGTGTCCTGTAATCCGATTTTCTCAGTTCATACTGAATGTTCAAGCTATCTCTGTTCTGGACAGACTGACTCCTCTGCTGTCTGACATCCCAATCCATCTCCACATTAACCCCACCACTCCCAATCCCAGAATGCATTACCACTCCCTACAATAGTCCTCCCATGTCCTCTCCTAATCTTGTCCCCTGTCCTCCAACAGTGCCTGCCATTACTTAACGTGCTTCTTTCCATCTCTAATACAATTTAACTCCTAATACTGCTTGCCCATTTAACAGCCTTTAATGAATCAACATCAACTCATGTCCTTGTCCCGCTCTTTCCTCCACCACTAATAAAATGGATATACCTCAGACAGGGCAGCTAGACATGCAGCTTTGTGAAGAGAAGAGAGAATCAGTGAAAAGCTCAAAGGTGCTTTTTCTTGAGACATTTACAAATATGATATAGATTGCATTAGTGCCTGTTCACTTTTTCAGCAGCATTAGTTCCAGAAGTATTTTTTTCATAAATTGTTCCCATAGGGATTAAAAAAAAAAAAAAGTATTTAAAGCATTATAAGCCATGAACCAAGCCAACCAGCTGAAGGTGAATCACTACATCACAAACTTTTATTTGAAGCAAAAAAGCATTTGAAAATGAGCTAGATCGACTCGATTACGTCAAGGTCGACGTTGATTACTGCTGAGCTCTTTTGGTGTGATTTGCTTAACACAACTCTCTGACTGGTGGAATTTTCTGGACAGAATTATGGGTAATGTAGTTTTTCATCATGAATTCCACTGGTAAACTTGATTCTAAATTCTAAATCATTTATTGTTGATTAACAACCTCAGAGCTCACAACCCGTCTTTAAAGGTTTATAAGTTGTTGTTAAAAATAAATGTTCCTATAGAGAAGAGTTTTTACTTCTGGACTGTTGCTGTCACAAATCCAGTCTATGAACTTCCGTTCACTCACCACCAGAGGTCACGCGCTCACTACATTGACTCTCACACCACACAGACTGTTACATGTCACTCCGGACTGCCCACACTACTGTTGCACTTCACCCGGACTACAGTTCCCATCATCCATTGCACTGATTACACACACACAGCTGAATGCACTGATTACACACACACACAGCTGAATCCAATCAGACACGCTTTATAAGCCCTGGACTTCCTCGTTCAGATCGCCAAGTATTGTATGCGCATATCGCTAGTCAGTGATGGCTACGTTATGGAGCCATTTCGTTAGCCATTGTTTATTTCCTAGTCTAGTCTTGCCTGTTTTCCGGTCCTTTGACTATTGCTCGTGTTTACAGATTACCCCTTTTGTCAAGCCCTCTGGATTACGTTCGCCGATCGATGACCCACGCTTGTCCTAGGATTACTCTTTGTCTTGCCTGTGTTGTACCTGTTTGCCATTGTTTGACCCATGCCTGTTATGACCATGTCTCTTAAATAAAAGCATGCTTCTGTAAACACGAGCAATAGTCAAAGGACCGGAAAACAGGCAAGGCAAAACTAGACTAGGACTTGGAACAGTATCCGAACAGGGCGAGACGAGAGGGGTAATCCAAGACAGGCGATATACTTCAGGGCAGGCAGAGATAATACAGACACGAATGGCTAAAACAGGCAATAAGCAGGAATAAACAGGAAAGGCAATAAACAGGAATAAACTAGACTTTCACTCAGAAAACTTGGAATGGCTCCGCAAAGCAGCTGTCACTAGGAGAGTAATAAAGGCAGAACAATACTCGGCGACTTGAGCAGGATCTGAGTGGGTGTTTTATAGTGTGTGTTATAGCTTTCAGGTGAGTGTGTGATTGGTTACAGCTGTGTGCAATCAGTGCAATGGATGATGGGAAATGTAGTCCAGGGTATAGTGCAACAGTCTGTGTAGTGTGAGAGTCCATGTAGTGAGCGCGTGACCTCTGGTGGTGAGTGAACGGAAGTTCATAGACTGGATTCGTGACCGTTGCACTCGATTAGCGTCACACTGGAAAATTTTAATCATCAAAAGTCATTGTTGTTTACTGTCATTTGTGCAAGTTTGTATGAAAATCCTGCTTGAATGTGTTTCCACAGACTATAGACAAGACAGAATACAATAGACAGTATTGCTATGTATAAAAATATACATATATTTGGTTATATAAAAATAACCAAACAATAAACTGATAGTGTCATTGATTAGCTTAAAGTAACTGGCACAAGATCAAATTGTGTTGAGTGACACTGGGATCACTGATTCATCATAGAATTTTTTATTTATTTATGATTTTATTTGAGTCAGATCAGGTCCTTGGCACACCTTTGCCAAAGAAAACCAAAATTTTGAAAGCTCAGATAAAAGAATCTGAGCATCACCTTGAAGATCTTCTTCAACCTATCCATTCTACTCCATAATCCAATTTTCTCTCTCTCTCTCTCTTCATGACTTGTGTCTGTGCAGCCTCACTCTTCATCTCTCCATTTCCCTCATTCCATCCCACTGACCACCCCTTCATGCCCTCTCCCACAATGCACTGCTGCTTCCTGTCCTCCTCCATTCATTTCCTCCTATCCCTCTCTGCTGTTGCAGCAGGTAAGGGCACGTGCAACATGTTACAATGTGTCCCAGTCTGCTGAATCTAATTCATACATTTTCTCCTCTTCCATTGGTATCCGTTTGGTTAAGGTGTCTAAAACTAAACCATTACATGTGCAGCATTTTAAAAAGGAGATACAGGGAGAAACAATGAGTCCATCCCATCTGGTGAGTGTTCCCTTGTAGCTCAGTTACAGTAAGTTAGGAAATATAATTACAGTGGAGAGGGATTTAGCCTAAGTGTTTTGACATCTGGCATGCTGGAGGTCACCGGCTTAGTCAATCTTCAAAATAATTGTAGGTTAGTTATCATTACTGTATGCTCAGAATGCGGCTTTATGACATATTGAATGGGATTTAATTTGTGGTTCCAGTTAAGCAGTCGCAGATTGTCTCATTTTAGCCATCAGAGCGAAACACAGATAGGCTACCCCAGTCAGAGGAAAACAGAAACTTTAAAGCACCTGATAAGGTATCATGGCACCATCTAAACTTCCTGTTTTGCCTTTTCTGTGACTATTTCGAAAGGTAAACCAACATGTTTTCGTGTTACTGTATATAGACAGCGTTTCTGTTTTTTTCAAGGTACTGTATGGAAAGTATATTTTTCCACTGTAAAAAGTTTAACACCTAAAAGAAAAAGAATGCTTACATTTGAAAAATAGACCGTTTACTAAATACTTGGTGGTGTAACAAACTAGTTCCACATATAAGAGAATTCTAGGTAAAAAAACAAAACATATTATAGAATTGTGTATATAGCCTACGCAATATTACTCGAGTACGAGAGCGATACCGGCTCTATATCAGCATGGCTATAATTAGGCCAGAGGCACGTGGCCTAATCACAGCCTGATATAGAGCCGGTATCGCTCGAGTACGAGAGTG